TCATTTCATTTTTCATGGTTGACAGCAAGAAGCACACATCGTTAACAATGCAGTGCATAATGAAAGGACTTGTTTCCAGGTCAGGTGTGGGCCTATGTTCTGTTAAATTAAGCAGGTTTTAGGCTGAATAATTGCAAGCAATGTAAAAAGATATGCATGTGTGTGTGTGTTCTACATTGGAACACGCGGTTCAAGCTGAGCAAGGAGCTCATTTTTCACCTCAAATCATTGGACAAGGTGCTGGGTTTTTGTTGTCAATTAAATCCAATATGTGTTTCGTGCTGTCAAAGCTTCATGCACATAGTTGAAGCGCTGGGATCTGTCGACCTTTGGCCTGCAATCTGTTCCAAACATCATTGGTCACACACTGCAGGCTCAGCTTGCAAGGCAGCGTTGTGTGCATGTACTGCTTCAGTTCATTTCACTACCATTGTGGTTTCTGTTTCTTATCGTGAACTGAATGCTTTAAACGAAAAACATTAAGCAAACCATGGCAGCCTAGAGAGGACGTCCCAAGTGTCAGCGGGGTCTGTGTTTGTTTGTGCTTGCTTGATTGCTTGCTTGCTTGCTTGCTTGCTTGCTTGCTTGCTTGCTTGCTTGCTTGATTGTTCTTGCTTGATTGTGCTTGCTTGATTGTGCTTGCTTGATTGCTTGCTTGCTTGCTTGCTTGCTTGCTTGCTTGCTTGCTTGCTTGCTTGCTTGCTTGCTTGCTTGCTTGCTTGCTCGTCTTTTGGTTGTATGTAAATCATGTGCGTGTGCATTGTTTGCGTGTTTGTGTGTTTGTGTGTGTGTGTGTGTGTGCGTGTGTGTGTGTGTGTGTGTGTGTGTGTGTGTGTGTGTGTGTGTGTGTGTGTGTGTGTGTGTGTGTGTGTGTGTGTGTGTGTGTGTGTGTGTGTGTGTGTGTGTGTGTGTGTGTGTGTGTGTGTGTGTGTGTGTGTGTGTGTGTGTGTGTGTGTGTGTGTGTGTGTGTGTGTGTGTGTGTGTGTGTGTTGTTGTGATTGTTTGCTTGCGTGTTTGCGTGTTTGCTTGTTTGTGTGTTTGTTTGTTTGTTTGGTTGGTTGGTTGTTTTGTAGGTGTGTATGTATGTTTGTATGTTTGTATGTGTGTATGTTTGTATACTTGTATGGCTGCATATGTGTATGTTTGCATGTTTGGATGTTTGTATGTTTGCTTGTGTTGCTTGTGTGTTTGTTTGTTTGTTGAGTTGGGTTGGGTTGGGTTGGGTTGGGTTGGGTTGGGTTGGGTTGGGTTGGGTTGGTTGTTTGTTTGGTTGATTGATTGATTAGTTTGTTAGTTTGTTTGTTTGTTTGTTTGTTCGTTTGTTGCGTGTTTGTTTCTTTGTCTGTTGCCTAAAAGGACACCTATGTGAAAAAAGTACTGTTACGCCATGTTTGGGTCCGATTCGATAAAGACGAGCCACCCGCTTCGGAGTGCTGAACAGTTTTGCCGAGCGGTTCGCCTTAGGCGGTGCTACAGCGGCATCTTGGGGTCCTGTGCTGTGGCCAGCAACAGTCCAAGATGCTTCCCGATCGACCGCTAAGTTTGTCTCAATAGGGCAGACCTTTTGGTTTCCCAAGGCCAAAAGGGGTCCCTTCAACAGACTGCATCCAAAACTATGTCCCCTTTTTTTCCCGCCCTGGATGTTGGAAGAGGGCGGTGATGTTGATTGCCCCTGTAAAGCCCATGGTCGGATTTATGTACCCTTGATTTCATGTCCTCTCTGTTTTTGTCTGCTTTGCAGGTAAGGTTCCCTGTGGCCTCAATGCCGGCTTTCTCGATGTTCTTTTCCGAAGCCAAAAGGTGTGCTGGTTGCGCACGATTGCAGTTTTGCTTCTTAGGTCGATTTCTTTCGGGATGGCTTCCTCATCACTTTGAGACACAGCCGACCTGGCAGTTACATGTTTGCCTCGAGTCACTTGTTTACGCCGAGATTTGGATCAATGGGTGGTGCAGCGCCTGCGGTGAGAATCTGCGGGGGAGTCAGGTGTGTCTCAAGCTAGACTGCTTTTGGTGGATTTAACAGGAAACAAAAAGCCAATGATACCTGAGGGGTCGCTATCAGCATTTTGGCTCGGCCCCTTGGACCGGTTCAACTGACTTCTGCCACCGTTGAAGGGGTGTGACTGCACGTCTTCCAGCTGTGCTTGGGCGCTCGTTGAAACTCAATGGGCTCATTCATTCGCTGCACTCACATGTCATGTGCCCATGGTCAAAGCACCGGTTCCTTTACTTGGGGTGACAGAGATGGTCATCCAACTGGTACAGTAAGCATCCAAAAAAGCCATTATGGCTTAATTCCTGTGAAGGGAACCACGACCATTCGCCAAACGAACGCAGTTTTGAACATGGCTCACATGTCAGGCCCGCATCTGTAGTTTGTGTGCATTGAAGCATGACCAGCACCCGGGTCCCAACGACTCCGTTTTGGGCAGCACACGGGGGGGGGGGGAGAAGGCAGTCGTCGGGCGCCCTACCATGTTCCAAGCGCGAGTGCACGGATCAATTGGGTCAAATCTTGGAGTTCCTTGAAATATCGTCGTGCTGTTTGCAACCTGGGCTGTAGGGAATCCGCCAGATCCTTTCCTTGGGTCATGCAAAGAACCGGGCCGCTTTGTGTTGGCTTCCCCATGCAGATCATGGATTTGGATTGAAGGCCAACCCTCCATTTTGAACAGCCCAGGCAACAGAAAAAAGGGGGCCCCCAAATTCAATTTCAAGAGTCACCCTGCGTGTTTTTGGGCCACCCAAGCGCCCAGTTGTAGGGCTACATATGCAGCAGGAACAAGCTGGACATCCCAAGCACTGCTGTCGAGTTTCCGTTCTTTGGATGTTGGACATGGGAAAGCAAGACTTGTTGGTTGTGGGGCGGGTCGCCGGGAGTTGGACATAGTTGGCTTGGGATTCACTTGTCTCTTTATTGCGGGAGTTCTCACGGCACGCTGTGAGCACATCAACGTCCGTGGCTCGAGTAGACTTTTTTCGTCATGGGTCCTTGCGAAGCCTTCAAGACGTGCCTCAATTCCATGGGAGGCCAAGACCTTATTGTTTGAGGCTAGGTCCAGATAGGTGCCAACTTTTTTCGTTTCTTTTTGGTTGGGAGGGTTCCCCTACTAAATGGACGACAGAAAAGAGTTGGTACCCTTATTCTAACCTCTCTACTGGAGGACCTAGATGAAGTTTGCTGCAGCCATATGGTGCGGCACTTCTTGTGTTCATTGCTTTGATCAGCTGACTTCGTCCACTCGGCCTGCGTGGACTCTGGAAAAAACCGCCCCAGGTGTCTTCTTCTTCCTTTGGATGAAGCAGCTGCCTCATCTTTGGGCCGGCAGAGTCTGGCTATCTGGGCAGTTGGGTGGGCATTGGTGGTGTTCGCAACTTGTGTGTGTGTGTGTGTGCACGTGTGTGTGTGTGTGTGGGCGGGTGGGTGGGTGGGTGGGTGTGTCTGTGTATCTGTGTGTCGGTGTGTGTGTGTGTGTGTCAGAGTGTTTGAACTCGCAGTCTGCCGTACGTGTTCTGGTTTTGCGGAACAAACATGCATACGAGAGGAACCTGTGCATCCTTTGGCGACATTGTGGGCCACCCTTTTTCCGGCGACCCACGTCTCAACGGAAGGGTCTTGAAGGTGAAGCCCGCCTCAGAATGTGGCTGTGGGTCAAAAATAGGTACCCCAAATGGAACCCTTGGAAACATGGACCAAAACCTGCTTTTGTCCCCTGGTGGTTTAATTTTGACCCATACCCATGTTGACTGTTCTTCGGGGTCAAGTCAGAAGCCGGAGCTTGTCCCTGGCCTCACGCCAAGCAGCTTTGGAACTAGCTGGTTCTACTTTGATAGCGTCGGAACGGGCCTCGTTGAATCGTGTGAATGAGTTTTATCGACATTACAACACATTTTTTGTGAGTTGGGCGACCGGGCGCCAGTTTCCTCCAAAACAACCCCCCGCCAGCGTTGAGGTTCCGCTACGTTGCCAAGTCCATTTTGTAGTCCACACCTTGGTCTTTGGTGTGAGCTTCGCCACCTGAGCCCACGAAAGGTCGTTGACCTTCTGTTCGGGGAAAAACACGCGCAACCCAGGTCAGTGGATCTAGAGAGGTTTCAAGACGTAAGTAGATTCCGAATGCGAGTTGCTTGTCGCATTTCACAACATTGTGGAATATGCGTTTGGATGTTTGATTTACACTTCCTAGTTTTCTTGAAATCAAGGAGCCACCTCAAAGTTTGTCACCATTCAAGTGCCTGTGGGGTCTTGTCACCGTATGTGCAGCCATCTGCCCGGCCTGTGCATCCGACATCCGGACAGGCTCGAGGCCAAAATATCGGCCGGCCCGGTAAGGAACTCGTGCCCGGTTTCGACAAATGCGAAATCGATTCCCAGAGGGTTCCTTGGTACCTTCTAAGGCTGAACATGTTCTTCCTGCACCCGGGTCCCAATCACAGATTTTTGTTTATCATACTTGGGATTTAGGACATTAGGAAAAGCAATCGTTGTGGGAGTGCTGGCTGTCCAGTTTTGCCGCAAGGCAACGAGCAGAGGGTTGACTATTATTTCATGTGCCCGGTTCGTGCTGCAGATTGGTCTTTGTAACACCTACACGACGGAGCAGCATATTGTAAGATGGTCAGAGACTCGGGATTCCGTGCACCTCAAAGGACTTGTTTCGCTTTCAGAGCCGCTTGAGCCTAGCGCCCGCGGCCCTAGCAACTGCTTGTTGCTTACCGAAGCTACCAAGGGGATTTTGGTTGAGTGAAGGAAGTCTAGGTCCCCCAGTAGTGCCCTTTTACCGTTTCTTCCCTACTAAAACAGACAAACAAAGTTGGTACCAACTTACTCTAACTCCTCGCTACTACTAAAATGGACCGTGCCTCAAAATTAAACAGGAGGGGCAAACCGCAGGTTTGGTCCATGTTGCCACAGGGTTGTATTTTGGAATTCCGGTTTTTTGAGCCGCAGCCACATGGGTAACCTCTCCACTGGACCTAGTTGGACCTTGTGCATTTCACCTCGAGCTCGAAGCCTCCCAACTTACCGTCGATCCAATGGGCTGCGGGAGCTCTGCAAAGGCACCGCCCAAGGACCCGCCGTGGAACGGGTTGGTCGGGACCTGTTTGTGCGTTGGTTCCCGGGTCCTGCTGCTTGGTTTGGAAGGTAAAAGGAAGACCTGCATTGTTTTGTTTTTGGGGGGGGTCCCCCAAAAAGGGTTTGAAGGGAAATCAAAGCAAGACCAGCTTGCTTTTGTCACAAACTCGCAAGTACGGCAACCAACAAGCAGTTGGTGGGGGGTGCTGGAATCATTTGATGAATTTGGGGGTCCCAATCCCAACAATTCGAACCACATACCACCTCTAGCACTGGTCTGAGTGCTTAGCTCCGTCCATCGTTTCCCCAAGTCCTGCGGATTCTGTCGGAGCCTAAACACTCCGTGCTCGAGCTGCAACCCCAAAAGGCGATCATTTTTGAGAGCAAACCTTTTTCGGATTTCAATTCCCATTGAGCAGGGGAGTGGTTGGAATCGGGCAGGGCAATTACTTTCAAGCCAAATCCAGTCATGATTGGGAGTAAGCTGCTGGAAATTTGTCTAGCGCCTTATGTTAATGATGGTTGGATTTTACGGAAGCTACAATATGTTGCCTTGAGCACATGGCTGGTACAGGCATTAACAACGAAACACGGAGATCTGCCTACATTTTGGCTTCCCGATCTATCAGCATCCGAAAACGTGCCATCCCAGGGTCGAGTGTAGGACATTTGGGGCACAACAGTTTGACTTACCAGACGTTGTCCGCTTCTCTGCTTCCGGCTATGTCAGGGCGCAGAGGTCTTGAGGTGTTTTTGCTTCCACTGAAACGAGGTGTACAATTTTGAGCGGCTTGCCAGGAGGAAGAGCTCGACGGTGTGGTTCCCTTGCGGGAAAGCCAGGCGCGGATCTCTTGCAGAAAGGTCTGTGTCACAGAATCTAATTTTGGCTTGGGGCTTTAAGGGTGGTTCCGAATCGATGTGTCCTTCGGCCGAAGCGTCGCGCGAGGGAGATGTCGTCCATTGGACGCATTCTACTGTTTTGCCAGGTAAGCCTTGAGCGGTCCCTATTGTTCACGCTTGCCAGCTGGTCAAAACGAGAAGCATCGTCCAAACCCGAGCGACTCGGAAAAAAACACAAATAACTTGTTATCATGTCCAGAAAAAGGAACACAAATATGTGTAATTCTTTCGAAGGCCCTCATCTTCCTTCAGAGCAACTTGCAACTTGGAAAGCGCGGCGCGCTTTCGAGCCCGCTTCAATGGGATCAGGTATCGCTTGGACCTGAAAGGGAATCTGGGCGAAGTCCAGGGAAAGACTGGGAAGTCTTGAGATGTGGTGTGTCTTTCGCTTCTTTCTGTGTCCGGTGCCCTTTTTGGTCTATCGGGAACCCCCAACAAAAAGGTGCTTTGGAGGATACCCTCAACAACAGACACCCCTACTAGGTCCTCCAGTAGAGAGGTTAGAAGAAGGTATACCCTTTTTTCTGTGTATTTTAGTAGGGGAACCCTCCCCCCAAAAAAAGAAACGGTAAAAGGGCACTGCTGGGGGACCTAGCCTATGTAGCTGCCACACCGACCGTTCATGAGTCTGGGTGTACACTCAGCTCCCGCCGAAACCGGATTCTTAGGGGCGGAAATCAAAAAAAAACTTGGATGCCCATATTTCAGCATTTGGTTGGTTCCTGTGCCAAGGGATTCTTTTTTTGGAACCGAAAAAGCCGGCAGGTCGGATCGGACCGGGCTTTGCCCTCGTTGCAAGTCGCTGAAGTAAGGGCCCAAACAACTACAATGATTCTGAGCATGACTTAAATGGACTTCAAGTACAGAAGTCGGTTCTAGGGAACATTGGCTCGCTCCGGTCGAGTTAGTTGGGGATTTGTTTTTTTGTGCACCCTTCATCGAAAGGATGGCCATCCCAAGCAAGCACCTGCCGTATTTGTTCGGTCCTCATTCCCTTGCTTTTTGCAGGACACGGTCCTCATTCCCTTGCGGGGTTTCCTTGAAAGCACACCAAATGTGTGTTCCTTTGAGTGCAAGCCAACAAGTGCTACTTTTTCCAAAACGAGACCAACCATTTGTGCATTCATTCATGTTGTCCCTGGCCGATTTGAGGCTTTGCCCAACAAAATATGCCCTTTGAAAAGGGCGGCACCTTGAGCAGTCCCACAATCCAAAAGGGCATTGCTGCATTTTGCTTGGATGTTAGGACTTTATTTAACTTTTTTGCCAACTAGTGGGTTTTCCGTATCAAACCACTAAAGGTTAAGATCTCTTTTGCAGCAGAGCAGATTTCGCAACCGAAAGGGGGCTACACTTTGGACCCCCGGAAAACGTCCGGGGCAGCCAGGCGGAGGTGGATCCGGCCATGGAGGACAGATCGGGGATCGATGTGGCCCATGGTACGTGTGCGGACTCGGGCCGAAATCTCTACTGCTGTTGGATCTGTTACTTTAGACTTTTTCTGGAGCTTTAGAGTCTATTGGATCTTATTGGATCCATCTGTAATTGGATCTTTAGACTTTAACTTTTTGGGTTTATATGTCCTACCCAGCAAACAGTTTAACTTTTTGGTGGGGGATCTACAGCACCCAAGAAATGATGAAGTTGATCCTTCATCACAAAAGGGGTACCCCAAAAAATGGCAGAGGGAACGAGCATAGGAGCTCGAATGTGTGAAATAGGGATTCGGGCCCTGCAAACAGGGGTACCTTTTGATTTGCCTTGAGCCAACCCCTCCAAAAGCGCACACCTCATGGGGGCTGGGGAGGGGGGAGGGAGCCCTAATAAGCCCCAAATAAGGCTGTATTCCAGCCATGAACACCTAAATCAAAGATGATATGGTGCTGGGCAAAAAGTGACCCCTCTTCGGTAGCGGTCGTCTCTTTTTTTCCGTTGGACAAAAGCCTTGTGAGGCTCGGAGAGTGGAGGGGATTGCACAGACCGACTCAAGCCTTTGGCTTTGACTCAGGGCCTTTGCCTTTTGGGAAGATGTGCTAGGTTTTCCGGTGGTGCCCTTTTACCCTTTGTTGGGGGAGGGTTCCCCTACTAAAAGAGACTATAGAACAACATCAGGTACCCTTATTCTAAGCTCTCTACTGGAGGACCTAGTGTGTGTCTTCAGTGTTGGAGCATCTTTCTGGTGTTTTAGGTGTTTTCATTCTCAGTAGGCTGGAAAAGAACCACGTTGTTTGGCCCATACCAAGGGTTGGACAGTTGCCCCCATCTGCAGCACTCCTGTAATAGAGCAGGTCCCCTATTCCAGTCTGGGAATCGTTGAAAGTCGAGGAGGGGGTTCTGCACATCCATTCTGCGCATCTATTCTGCGCATCTATTCTGAATTTGGAGGCCGTGCCTCTCCCCGGCATGGTCGAGGATGTTCAGGCGTGGATCGATTTTTAGCGAGCTGCCAAGCGACGGCCGAGCGACTGAGCGACGGCCCGAACCTAGGGGCTTCCAGAAGCAAACTCGCGGCTCATGCGGGTCCAGGGGTTTCTCGATTGCCGTGTTTGGAACCATGAAAAGTCAGGGCTCCCTTTTTGACTCGGGGTTGACCTAAAATCAGGGCTGGGCCATTCCCCCCAAAAGGAGAACCCCTGGGTTTAAGTCCTCTTGGGGTAGTCAAAAGCGGAACCCTGCAAAAGGTGCAGTTTCAATGGACAACACCTGCAACCTGTAACCCCCTGTAACTTTTGATTTGGGGAAATCCAGTGACCCTTGTTGAGTGGATGCCTTTGTATTTGTATTCTCCGGCTGAATTTGAGCGGAGAAAGGCTCTTGGCCAACTGGCATGTTTCATCGTCTCGCTTCAAGTGCGAAAGTCTCTTGGCTTCAAAGATATGCCAGGCACTTTGATCAAACTGGTTCCCCGCCACCGATGGTTCAAAGCCGTTCGAGCCTAACTTCCCGACAGGAACATGGCTTGCCTGTCGAAATGCCTAAGATCGGCAGCCAGACGGTGACGTGAGCGCCTTTCGCTCATGCCCATCGTTCTGGACATCTTGGCTTTGGGGCACTGTTCTCTAAACACAAAACCATGAGCACCCTTCACAGTGGTAGCTAGGTCCCCCACTAGTGCCCTTTTACCGTTTCTTTTTTGGGGGAGGGTTCCCCTTGTAAAAGAGACTACGGAAAAAAGAAAAAGAAAAGGGTACCAACTTATTCTAAGCCTCTACTGGAGGACCCAGGTAAAGTCATTGGGGGCCCGAAGTCGTCTTCTTCAGGGTGGTGCTTGAAGGCGAAGAGCTGTAGGTGGAGAAGTGCCTCCCGCGTCACACAATTTATGGCACCAATACATAGGGGTGCAATCACTCAGACAGAGTTGGAGACTTACGTCCTTTTTTGGGAAGGCTGGAGAGACTCTGCAACGCTAATTGCATTACAAAAAGTGTAGTAGAACCCCCTCAAACAACAAGAAGCCTTTTTGCATGCGGTATTTTTGGGTCACACGCTTTCTTCTTTAGGCTTTTGATCCCGGCCGGTTTGGCCTTCGGTTGTCAGCACGCTTGCAGGCGGCTGAGCCGAGCAAGCCATCTTCTGAGGCGGACCTTGAAACTTGCCTGTAGTAGCAAAAGGGCCCATGTTTTCTAGGGGGCCTTCCCCATTTTTTTTTCCAGGGATGCTTCTTTCTAGAAAACCTCCGGGGAAAAAACACAAAAACCGCAAAACGGCTGGTTTTTGGAAAGACTAGTTTAAAGGGGGTCCAGTAGTTTCTGAAGCTCACCATGTTAACCCTTTTTTGCCTGACGTTCAGGCGGATCTTGGCAGGTTGTTTCCCGCTCCCTTGCAATATGGCTGTGGGTCAAAACCAATGGTACCATTTTGGGGTAGGTGCGCCACACATTTTAGTCTATTTTAGTGGGGATTGGGATGTTCACTGGGGGTACGGGATTTTGACCCATGGCCATATGTCTGTATCCACCGGAAAGCAACACTTCAAAAGAGAACGAGGCGTGTCCAATGTACGGTCCCCTTGTTGGATTTTGGTGTTGCCTGGTGCCTTTTGACGGGAAACAAGGACAGCCTGGTGTGGATCTGTGGCATAATTGGACAACTGGGATTTTTGGACAACCGGGATTTTGACACCACAAAGATGCAGAGTTTGTCGCAGTTCGGGATTTGTGGCGTATAGTTGGGGATTGCTGCCGATAGACACTGACGATGGCAGGCGGAGAAGCAGGCTGACACTGGGAGCCATGCTCCTGTTCACAGCGAGGCGGGAATGAAACCATGGGCAGATATTCATAGATATGGGCTGGAAACATGTAGCGGCCGTCAGCCATCAGTCTGAGCGCCGCAAAAGTTGTAAGGCTTCTCCTGCACCTGCCGTGCCAAAGGCGGGAGCAGAGAAAGCCGGCCGGGGGTGGGATGATGTGTGACGTGCTTGGCGTCATGCTGATATTCTCCTTGGCCCTGCTTCAATGATGAAAGCATTTCCTAAAGGGGGGTTGCTGCAGGGCAAGCAGCTTGCAAGCTACCCAGTTTATCCATTGGCAGACACCGCCAGGTAGAGGCGGAGCTTCATGCTTCCCAGCGACTTTCACCTCAGGCCGTCTCAGTTGATCCGGAACTCGGCTGGTAGGGGGCAAGGGACGAATCAGGTAGAACTATCAGTGTTGGCTAACGGTTCAGATTAGAAGAAGACAAAGAAGAAACACATGTTGAAGCAGAAGCGGAGATTCAGACTAGCATTGATGGGTCTGTCGTTGATGCCTGCAAATGGCTGCCAATTGCAGGCGGAGAAGCCAGGTGACATGGGGAGCCAGCCTCCTGTTCACACCGAGGCGGGAATGAAACCATGGACAGATGTTCAGAGGTAAGGGCTGGAACCATGTAGCGGCCGTCAGCCATCAGTCTGAGAGCCGTAAGGCTTCTCCTGCGTCTGCTGAGCCAAAGGCAGGGGCGGAGAGAGCCGGCGGGGGGGGGGAGGGGATGCTTGGCGTATTGATAAGATCCTCTTTGGCCCTGCTTCCTGAAGGGGGGTTGCAGAGCAAGCAGCTTGCAAGCTACCCAGTTTATCTATTGGCACGCACCAGGCAGAGGCGGAGCTTCATGCTTCCCAGCGACTTTCACCTCAGGCCGTCTCAGTTGATCCGGAACTTGGCTGGTAGGGGGCAAGGGGCGAATCAAGTAGAACTATCAATGTTGGGCAACGGTTCAGATTAGAAGAAGACAAAGAAGAGACACATGTTGAAGCAGAAGCGGAGATTCAGACTAGCATTGATGGGTCTGTCGTTGATGCCTGCAAATGGCTGCCAATTGCAGGCGGAGAAGCCAGGTGACATGGGGAGCCAGCCTCCTGTTTACACCGAGGCGGGAATGAAACCATGGACAGATATTCAGAGGTAAGGGCTGGAACCATGTAGCGGCCGTCAGCCATCAGTCTGAGAGCCGTAAGGCTTCTCCTGCGTTTGCTGAGCCAAAGGCAGGGGCGGAGAGAGCCGGCGGGGGGGGGAGGCGATGCTTGGCGTAATGATGAGATCCTCTTTGGCCCTGCTTCCTAAAGGGGGGTTGCAGAGCAAGCAGCTTGCAAGCTACCCAGTTTATCTATTGGCACGCACCGCGCAGGCAGAGGCGGAGCTTCATGCTTCCCAGCGACTTTCACCTCAGGCCGTCTCAGTTGATCCGGAACTCGGCTGGTAGAGGGCAAGGGGCGAATCAAGTAGAACTATCAATGTTGGGCAACGGTTCAGATTAGAAGAAGACAAAGAAGAAACACATGTTGAAGCAGAAGACGGAGATTCAGACTAGGATTGATGGGTCTGTCGTTGATGCCTGCAAATGGCTGCCAATTGCAGGCGGAGAAGCCAGGTGACATGGGGAGCCAGCCTCCTGTTCACACCGAGGCGGGAATGAAACCATGGACAGATGTTCAGAGGTAAGGGCTGGAACCATGTAACGGCCGTCAGCCATCAGTCTGAGAGCCGTAAGGCTTCTCCTGCGTCTGCTGAGCCAAAGGCAGGGGCGGAGAGAGCCGGCGGGGGGGGGGGGAGGGGATGCTTGGCGTAATGATAAGATCCTCTTTGGCCCTGCTTCCTAAAGGGGGGTTGCAGAGCAAGCAGCTTGCAAGCTACCCAGTTTATCTATTGGCACGCACCAGGCAGAGGCGGAGCTTCATGCTTCCCAGCGACTTTCACCTCAGGCCGTCTCAGTTGATCCGGAACTCGGCTGGTAGGGGGCAAGGGGCGAATCAAGTAGAACTATCAATGTTGGGCAACGGTTCAGATTAGAAGAAGACAAAGAAGAGACACATGTTGAAGCAGAAGCGGAGATTCAGACTAGCATTGATGGGTCTGTCGTTGATGCCTGCAAATGGCTGCCAATTGCAGGCGGAGAAGCCAGGTGACATGGGGAGCCAGCCTCCTGTTTACACCGAGGCGGGAATGAAACCATGGACAGATATTCAGAGGTAAGGGCTGGAACCATGTAGCGGCCGTCAGCCATCAGTCTGAGAGCCGTAAGGCTTCTCCTGCGTTTGCTGAGCCGAAGGCAGGGGCGAAGAGAGCCGGCGGGAGGGGGGAGGCGATGCTTGGCGTGGCGTAATGATGAGATCCTCTTTGGCCCTGCTTCCTAAAGGGGGGTTGCAGAGCAAGCAGCTTGCAAGCTACCCAGTTTATGTATTGGCACGCACCAGGCAGAGGCGGAGCTTCATGCTTCCCAGCGACTTTCACCTCAGGCCGTCTCAGTTGATCCGGAACTCGGCTGGTAGGGGGCAAGGGGCGAACCAAGTAGAACTATCAATGTTGGGCAACGGTTCAGATTAGAAGAAGACAAAGAAGAAACACATGTTGAAGCAGAAGACGGAGATTCAGACTAGGATTGATGGGTCTGTCGTTGATGCCTGCAAATGGCTGCCAATTGCAGGCGGAGAAGCCAGGTGACATGGGGAGGCATCCTCCTGTTCACACCGAGGCGGGAATGAAACCATGGACAGATATTCAGAGGTAAGGGCTGGAACCATGTAGCGGCCGTCAGCCATCAGTCTGAGAGCCGTAAGGCTTCTCCTGCGTTTGCTGAGCCAAAGGCAGGGGCGGAGAGAGCCGGAAGAGGGGGAAAGTGGTGTGACACAACTTGCGACTCAAGCATGTGCTGTTGGTGAAGCTGAATGGCGTGATGATGAGATCCTGTTCGGCACTGCTTTCATGATAGACACACAAAAGGGTAACTAGCTTGCAAGCTTCTTCCTCAGGATGTAGCTCGACACTCATCACCAATGTGCAGAGGGGGAGCTTCATGCCATTTGCACCTCCAGAGGCCGTCTCACTTGATCTGGTACCTGGCGGGTAGGGGCCAGTGGCTAGGCATTAGGTGTAACGTTCCACGAGGTCCAGTCAGGGATGTTGGGCGTCGATCTGTCGAACTGTCAATTGTCATCCATCTATCCATCTATCTATCTATCCATCTATCCATCTATCCATCTATCTGTCCATCTATCCATCTATCCATCTATCATTAAATCCATCTATGTGTCTATCTATCTATTTAATCTAATCTAAGCTAATCTAATCTAATCTAATCTAATCTATCTAATATATCTAATCTATCTATCTAATCTATGTATCTATCTATCTATCTATCGAACAATATATCTATATAATCTAGTCTAGTCTAGTCTAGTCTAATCTAATCTATCCATTTATATATACATATATCTATCTATAGATCTATCAATATTATCTTATCTTAAATTATCTTGTCTTATCTTATCTTATCTTATCTATATAATCTAATCTAATCTATATATATATATATCTAATCTAATCTAATCTAATCTATATTTATCTATCTATCTAGCTAGCTATTTATCTATCGATCTATCTATATATTCTATTATATTATATTCTACTCTATTCTATTATGTCTATCTATCTATCTATCTATCTATCTATCTATCTATCTATCGTTTCTATATATCTATCTATCTATCTATCTATCTATCTATCTATCTATCTAACTATCTATCTATCTATCTAGCTATCTATCTATCTATCTATCTATCTATCTATCTATCTTATCTATCTATCTATCTATCTATCTATCTATCTATCTATCTGTCTATCTATCTATCTATGTATCTATCTATCTATCTATCTATCTATCTATCTATCTATCTATCTATCTATCTATCTATCTATCTATCTATCTATCTTATCTATCTATCTATCTATCTATCTATCTATCTATCTATCTATCTATCTATCTATCTATCTATCTATCTATCTATCTATCTATCTATCTATCTCTATCTATCTATCTATCTATCTATCTATCTATCTATCTATCTATCTATCTATCTATCTATCTATCTATCTATCTATCTATCTATCTATCTATCTATCTATCTATCTATCTATCTATCTATCTATCTATCTATCTATCTATCTATCTATCTATCTATCTATCTATCTATCTATCTATCTATCTATCTATCTATCTATCTATCTATCTATCTATCTATCTATCTATCTATCTATCTATCTCTCTATCTCTCTATCTATCTATCTATCTATCTATCTATCTATCTATCTCTCTATCTCTCTATCTCTCTATCTCTCTATCTCTCTATCTCTCTATCTCCCTATCTCTCTATCTCTCTATCTCTCTATCTCTCCTATCTCTCTCTGTATATCTTTCTCTCTATCTCTTTCTCTCTATCTCTTTCTCTCTATCTCTTTCTCTCTATCTCTCTATTTCTCTATCTCTCTATTTCTCTATCTCTCTGTCTCTCTATCTCTCTCTATATCTCTTTCTCTCTATCTATCTATCTCTTTATCTCTCTATCTCTCTGTCTATCTATCTATCTATCCATCCATCTATCTATCTATCTATCAAATCTTTCTATGTTTCTGTCTATCTATCTATTTACCTACCTACCTAATCTATCTATCTATCTATCTATCTATCTATCTATCTATCTATCTATCTATCTATCTATCTATCCATCACTCCCACTGAATATGGATCACACCCGCAAGAGCTGCGGCTGCCGAGAGGTGGAGGAGCAAGCTGTCATGTGCGGCGATGCTCCGGGTCACACCGAGGCAGGAACCATGGCATACCATGGCCGTTGCTGAGAAGTGAGTTCAAAGCAGAATATCCCCCCGCTCACAAGAAAGAACGTCAGCATCCTCAAACCAACAGTGGAACCTGAACATACGGACAGGTAAGATGAGTCTGTTTCTTGTTAAGCCACCGAGTGAATTGCAGCTCTAGTCCCAAACGCACAGACACACAGACACAGACACAGACACACACACACACACACACACCCACCCACCCACCCACGCACCCAGCCGCCCACACACACACAGACACGCGCGCACAGGCAGACGCACACACAGAGACGCAGATACACACAGACACACGCACACACAGACGCAGACGCACACACACACACACAGACGCAGACACACACACACACACACAGAAGCAGACACACACAGACGGACACGCACAGACACACACACACACATACAGACGCACACACGCAGACGCACACACACACACACACAGACGCAGGCACACACAGACGCAGACACACACAGACGCAGACAACGAGACAGAGACAGGCGTAGACGCAGACACAGACACAGACACACACACACACACAGACGCACACGCCCACACACACACACCCACACACACACACGCCCGCACGTTCGCGCGCGCCCGCACGCACGCACGCGCGCATGCACCTACACACAGACACACAGACACACAGATGCACAGACACACAGACGCACAGACACACACGCACGCACACTCACAAGGCACACACAACGCACACACACACACAACGCGCAACGCACACACCCACACACACACACAACCACGCACACACACACAAGGCAGCGCGCAAACACACAAACTACGCACACACACACACACAACGCACACACACACAAACATACACTCACGACCTGCACACTGGAGTGAACATCAGCATCCCCAAGCCAACAGTATAGAGCTTGAGGCTTGAGCAGGAGGTCCAGACGAGTCCGTTTCTTGTCAAGTCATTGCTTGTGTCAGCTCTTGTCCCAAACGCGCACACATACACACCCACGCAAACAACGCACACACCCACGCGAGCACACAACACACACACACACAACCACACACAGACACAAGGCACGCGCGTGCAACACACACACACAGCATACGTATGTACACGCACTCACGCGCGCGCGCTGGCACGTGCAGGCGCGCGCACACCATATGCCAGCGGCAGGCTGAGAAGGATGTGGAGGCGTCCGGCGAGGCGTACTGTGAGGTCGGGGGCCGGGCTTGCCAGGAACAGTTGCTGCTTTCTGTGGTTGTGTTTTTGGTTTTACTTTAGACTTTCATTCCCCCTGCATTCTCCTTGTTTTCATTTCTGTTTCCCTTTCTGTTTTCATTTAGGCCATTTTTGTTTCCCTTTCATTTCCCCTTGCTTTCCTGTCATGTCAACTTCCCATTTCCTGCCCTTGCACTTCCTTGCATTTCCCCTTTGCTCCCGCCAAAAAACACGGTTTTCCCAGCGTTTTCGCCAAGAGGACAAACCCAAACCAGCAAAGAGTTGGCAGGGGGATTCGGGCCTGGGACCCCTGTTTTGCGACACCGGCTCCCCGAAGACTACGTTTAGTGGAATGTCATCAAATTACCGTGGGACCCCCCACCCCCAAAACCCTACGTATCAGACGTTGGGCGGGGGTGGTTATGCTCTATCCTCTCTTAGTTGTCCGACACGCCTCCGCAATGTCGGCGGATATTTTTCGGGCACCCTTCCCCACAACAGAAGGCATTTGTGGGAGGGTGAGGGAAGGTCATTTTCCTCTTGCTCGCGAAACTCAATTTGTCCCGGTTTTAAACGGACTCTATCACTGGACCGGTGTTCTCTCATTGTTGCCAGGGGTTTTGGGTTTTACCCCCATCCACCGAAGCCATTTTGGGGGGCCTTGACGCTTCATCCTCTCAGGATGAGCTGTTTGGAGCTTCGCCTGAGGCGAGCCGACGGGTATTCAAGCTGCCTGTTCTATAGGGAGCTTGCCTATCCGGTGGAACGACAATGATAAAGGTCCCCTGCTAAATGATCCCTTAATTCAGCTTTTCGAATCATCGCAAAATTTGCAGATTCAAGCCATCAAGCCACCCCAAGGGTCCGATTGAGTTTGGTGCCTCACAATGGGTGGTTTTTGAGGGCCCATGAAGAATTGGTCGCTTTGGGTTCTCCATAGCGTCCGGGGGGTCTGTGAGGGGTCATGAGCCTGAGGGTCTGTGAGGGGTCATGAGCCTTAGGCCAAGGCGAAAATCAAACGGCCATGGGCCCAGAAAGTCGGACCCGGGTGGCCAGTTTGTTTCAGAGAACGAACAACAACCCCCATTTCTTTGGTGCATTTTGCTTGGATGTTAAGACTTTAACTTGTTGCCAACTAATGGGTTTTCCATTAAACTACTAAAAGTTAAACTTTTAGCAGGGGAGCAGAAAGCAACCGAGATTTGAGCTCACGTTGAAGACACAGCTTGATATGATTGAGCCATTTTGTGGGGGTTGGAAGCGTAGCGTGCAGATGGTGCTTAAATCAAGACGAAATCAGACACCGACCAGCGCTAGGGTTTCCTTCCTTTGTTTTATTCACTCATGTTGCTCAGTAGTTTCAGCATCGCAATGTTTGAAATGTTCAGTTGAACCTTTTTTTGGGTCGAGGGATGTTTCAAGGAGACATATACCTGAGCCAGGCTTGAGTCTGTTGATTCTGAGTTAGAGCAAAGAGGGTTCCCAACATGTCTCCTGCGGTGGTTTTAACATTCTGCGGATGGACGAATTTCTGCACCACCTAAGAAGCCCCGGAACTGTAAGCGCCAACAAACCATGGTTTCCGATGGTTTCAAAGTGTTGCAGGATTTCGTCCATCTGGGCCACTTCAAAGTGAGCCCCCCTTGGGATGTTTGAAGAGAAGGGGGAGCAAAGCGACGTGGGAATGAGCCTCCTGGATGTCCGCATGTCTGTTTTGTCAGCACCATGTTTAAGACCTATTGTGGAGGTATGGGAAAAGGAAACCGGATGTAAAACAGCATGTTTTTGCGGTTTCTCTATTTTATTTGGAGTCACACGTGCAAGGCAGATAATCTGGAGATAAAGAAAAACATTCGCTGATGCAGATGTGGGATCGTTCATCGGTGGCTTCTCAGTTTCTCTTGACACCAGCCCACGCGCCAGGCTCCCGCACCTCTTCCATCAGACTCCGAGGCCGGGACATCAAGGTCAGGCCGGAGGAGCCTGAGTTCCAGAACTCGGACTTGAGTCGCTTTTTGGGCTTAGACCAGTTGAGTGGAAATCAACAAGTTTGGTGACTTGTTTGACTTTTTGCGGGCCATCCACTCAGGAAGAGTATGTATTGCCACCACGCCTAAATTCAAATTGGGAGCTTGACAGGGAGGGACTGAAGGAGCCTGGTCCTTGGAAAGGTCGACTTGGGTGCACACCCTTCTGTTGCAGTTCGCCCAGCTCAACATGGAGTCTCGTTTTGAGGAACCTGATCAGCACAGCCACCAAGCGTCCTAAAGCTGGTGTTGGCTTTGGGACTTGGTCTTCGCACCAGCATTCAAAGTGCACTTGAATGGTTACTGGTTGGTTGGCTGGCTGACCGGCCGGCGGGCTGCAAGTTTGTAGGCAGGCAGGTAGGTAGATAGGCAGGTGGATATTCGACATTTCTTTGGGTCAGCTATCTGCATGAGGGAGCTGCCCCATTGCTCAGTTTATCGCAAGACTTCACTTGAGCAGCTTGGCGCATACGTGAGCCGTTTACTAGAGTTCGGGATTGGCCGACTGCCCAGCATATTTTCAAGACAAGCGGGCTAAGTGTATAAGTGTAGGATGTGCCGCTTGATCAGTGTCATTTGTTTAGCGGTGGCTTCAAACATAATTAGGACACAAGGCACCGCTAAACAAATGACACTGAATAAACAATTAATCCAATCTAATTAGGACACAATTGCATTAGGGCGCATGGCAGTTGGATTGTTTTGAACAAGTGGAGGGACGGTCGGCCCGTGTCAACATGCTGCTCATGATCTCATATCACGTTGGTGACCGCGTCTTGCCATCCACTTTTTTGCAAAAGCCACGGCACTGTTCTCGACGATTTTTTTGGGGGAAGTAGGTACCCGAACCTGGAAGCGCACAGACTTGGGCATTCTAGGGGTAGCTTCCATGTCCATTCTTTTCAGGGATCCTTCTTTGCAGGAAACCACCAAAAACCCTGGGGAAATGGATCCGGTGATTGAAAAGAACGATGACTGAAAAGAATGGAAAAGTAATCAGTCCCCAGAACTTTCATTGCAACGCCGGCAAAATCCGGTGCCACCGCAGGGCTACAACCTGGTTTTGAGATAGACCCAGCCTTCCAGCACCCGGGTAAGCCATTGCTGTTTGGAGACTTGGGATTTTCGACTGGGAAGCAGTTGAGACCCGGGTGCTGGTTTGGAAGTGAGTCAAGGGGTCCAATCTGCCAAGTTGACCATGCCCCAGGGTTCAACCCCATGAAAAGAATGGTCGACCCTTTGGATGATGGGACAATCCTTAGGTAACCAATGGCGGTTCTATGAACCCTCCCTGGTTTTCGTGGTGGCCTGCCTGAGCCACCGGGCATGTTTTTCTGTGGGTAACGGCTCACTGGCGCAGGTTGGCATCGCAGGCTATGGTGGCAGCGTTGCAGAGGAGAGTGCGATAACTCCTCGTTTCGGCTTTTGGTCGACGGGAGGATCGCCGTGTGGCTGGCGCCTTCGTTAGTTTTTGCACCCTCAGCCTTGCGGAAGCTTCCGGAAGCCTTAGGGAAGCTTCGGGCAAAAGGGCGGGGGGAGATTGGGGATGAAACGAGGGCTCCCCCCTTTTTTTGCTTCCCCAAGGCTTCCGGAAGCTTCCGCAAGGCTTGTGGAAGCTTCCGGAAGCCTTGCGGAAGACTTGCGGACTTCTGAAGCTTCGGGGGAGCGGACGAAAAGGGCAGGGGGCCGGGGAAGGAAGGGGTGAGGGGGACGAGCATGAGCGCAGTGGAAGGTGTCTTTTCCAGCGATTGTCGCGCCGCCAGTCAGTGGGGAACCCTGTGGGAGCAAAACACTTTAACACTGCTACAACACTCCAATAGCAGTGCTATAGCATGTCTCAAGGCGGGGGGGGATAATGGGGGGGGTTATGCTTTCTTGACAAACTCATCGCCCGACCACCAAAACGCTTCCTGAGTCCATGCGGCAGAGCTTGTGAAGCATGCAGCCTCAGATTTTTAGGCCCTGCAAGCTACGGCATGGAGTGTGCTTCTGAGTTTTTCCCTGAGAGTTTTGCCAAAGAGCCGCACACAGCGGCACGGAAGCCATGTTCAAAGATGTGGCCATTCATTTTGAATAGGGCACCACCTCACCAGTGGTGGACTTGAACCCCCGAATTCTCCTGTTCACCCAAGCGTTCCAAGTTAAAATCGATGCCCATGCAACGCCCCACTCTTTTGGGGCAGCTGTTGGTGGCTCCCCCCCAACCCACTAAAAGTTTTAAGCACTTTTAGCAGGCGCATCTGAGAACGGGCGGCCCAGTTGCGGCTCTCAAGGAAAATTCCAGCCATGCATCGCAGGGCTCAAGCCAGCGTGGCTGGTCTTGACCACGGCTCTGATGGAATCAAATGACGCCCTCAAAACCCGAATTTGGCCTCCCTAACATAGCTGCGGGAGGGTACCCGGAAGATGCAGAGGTGTCCTTTTTGGTTTGGTTGAAAAATAGATGGTTTCTCTGGTGGTTCAATCAACCAGGGCCATCTTTTTTTTCCAAAATGACACCTCTGGGAAGATGATTTTCCTCTTTGGGGTACCCTGTGTCAGTTGCCATGTTAGGAGGGAGGGTAATTGGATGGAAAGGGACCATCCCAGCCAGAATTGGATGTGGAGATCTGCCTTTGTTCTTTGTGCATTGGGTAGGCCAGTCTAGTACCGTGTTTTGATTGTGACTCAAATGGGGGTTGATCAAAAGCTCCTTAAACCATGGGGTCACCAGAAGGGGAAACCACCGAAAAAGATTTGAGTTCCATGAAAAAGTTGCCCATGGTCATTTTGGGGCCGAAGGATAAGAAAGTGCGGCCGCCTCTTGAATTTGCTTGGTTTGAGAAATATGTTATTCGTGTTTTCAAAGTACCTCTTCGGATCCAAACTCAGCAAAGGTTTCCCAAGGCAACGTCGTGTTCAGCCGATTCCATGGAAGCTCCAACGATACCCCGAAATGGAAGACTTGGCGACCTATTTGTAGGATCGGCCGATTGGGGGAGCTTGCGGCTGTTTGTCTGGGAAGTGTAGGCACAAACAATTGGAACTGCCCACTCAGCTGATGGGATCCAATGGTCTCCGGCTACATCTTCGCGTCCACTCGTCGCTTGGCACAGTTACCAGCTGGCTAGCTGTACCTGTTTCAGGTGTCCAAACATTTGGCCCAGCTCCAACTGGCACCACCTTCCAATTTGGGTTTCAGTACTTGCCTTCAATGACTGCTAGACACTGGAACACGATGACACAGATATTGTTTTGTTCATGAGCCCAGAACTTGGCCATGAAATCCGCTTAAAAATTTGGACTCATCTGAGTTGTGTTTAACAGTTTGCCCATTGGCGTTCCCGCCTTTTCCCTTTCAGCCAGCACAAAGTTGACTTGTTGTAAGCTCAAACTCTTTCCTGCTCTTGTGGCAACCAAGTTCAACGTGTTTCAACACGTCTGACAATGTTTAGCACCCAAGCAGCCAAGGAACCTCTGGCTTGTCATGCCAAATCTCGTGCCCTGACTGAAAGTGGATAATGTGAATCACTCACAAAGCACTCATATGAGACATCCAAGAGGAAGGTCACAGCAACGAACCTAGAAAACCACTCTCGAGCACAACACCGATGCCTTTTTGGGGGGGCCAGCACGAACACCGGGAACACAGTTTTGGGGTTTTGGGGAGCCATGTCCTTAGCCAGCATGGGAACCGATCAAATGGCCGAGCCCGAAGAAAAGACCAAATCCCTCCGGAGCACGGGACCCGGTGCAAGGCGGGGGTGAGGTTTCCAGCAACACCTTTCAGACAAAAGAGATCAAGATAGTTCCTTGACACCGTATTTTGGTCTCTAACCACCTTTACCAGATCAGGTGGCTGGTTGGTTAGCGCTGATCTCCAGGTTTTTGGCGCATTTTCAGGATGCCTCGTGTATGAGTGGGGCCCCTCCACCTTGCATAGGCTCAGCGTCGCAACCTCCGCTGATTCTGGCTCAGACCCGTGAGCAAAATTGGCGTTTCGAGCTGCAACAGCCGAAGCGGCCATTCGATGTGCGACTCTCTTCCAATGCCGGCGCCCCAGTTTTCGAAGGTCCCACCCAGAGCTGTTGATCGACTTGCGATCGCTGCGAGAGACGCAGGGAATGAGAAACGGAGTGACCCTGAACCATCAAGCTTGTGGTTTCCTTGAAGGGTTTCTCCTGGGTTCATTCCCACATTCCCTGCCTATCGCACCAGCAAATGGTGGGAAGCGACTTACTTGGATTCGTGAACGTTGAATTGACGTCCAATTTCCGAGAGGATCCTGTTCGATTCGAGGATCCAAAACAATTTTCCGGCTGGATCAGTCCGGGTTCGGTTGACACCCCCTTGGTCACCCAATAGACTCACGCAGATCAACATGGAACCCAAGAGGCACCTTTTAGAGGAGAATGATTTGGAGGGTACCCAATGTGTGTGGTTAACGAAAAGGAAACCAAAAAGGAAAGCCGGTCATTTGGGGGACGTCCCCTAAAAAAGACACCCATGAGAAGGAGGAAACTCCATTTCAAACCCCCTTGGGTTCCTTCCGGATCCAATTCCATGGCTTAGAGTCGTGACAGTGCTCTCTTGGTAGCGCCGAATCGTGGGAACGCTTGGCCAGCACCGGCCGATTCAACTTTTGCAACAGCTATGTCCAATCTGTTCCATTGTTGTTGTGATTGTTTGGAGGCGAATTACCCGTTTCTTGTGGTTACAAACTATTTGCTTGTTGCTGGTGAACTTGGAATTTTTTTTTGCACCTGTGGAGGAGTCTCTTCCGCTTAACCCGTCGCATCCCACCCTTCGATCCATTTTCATTTTGTCGATTGTATGCGGTACTCACATGGCTACAACATCAGGTTAATCAAATCACAGCATGTCCCTTTCCTCCTTGCAGACGTGCGCATCAGTTTCGAAAGCAGGGCAGATACCTCCGATTCCAGAGCGATATACATCTGTGGCATTTGGACAAGTCCTAGGTGAGGAGTTGCTTGAACGCTCGTAACTTCTCTGTTCTTCTCCTCAGTTGCCCAGTGGCGCCTTTTTGTTCCTCTTTTTGGGAAGGTTCCCCTTTAAAGTCAGCCAACCAAAAAAGGACGCCCTTTCTCCCATGGCCACTGGGCATCTGAGTCTCAGGAATCCTTCTTTCAGCTGGGCCGGGTTTGCGAAAGAACACTGGTGGAAGAGATTGGGAACCCTCAGAACCATTGCAAGGTAACAAGAAACAAAAGAAGAAAAAAACAGATATCCGTGACTTCACAACCACCCCAAACAGATACCGAGAAGAAAATCAGCATATGGTGGTGTGTGTGTGTGTGTGTGTGTGTGTGTGTGTGTGTGTGTGTGTGTGTGTGTGTGTGTGTGTGTGTGTGTGTGTGTGTGTGTGTGTGTGTGTGTGTGTGTGTGTGTGTGTGTGTGTGTGTGTGTGTGTGTGTGTGTGTGTGTGTGTGTGTGTGTGTGTGTGTGTGTGTGTGTGTGTGTGTGTGTGTGTGTGTGTGTGTGTGTGTGTGTGTGTGTGTTTTTGAGGGTACCCGTTTTGGGGCCACCTTGTTTGGGGGTCCCCGTATTTCCGGACAGAGCAGTATACAGGTGTATCCCAATTTGTCTTGGTCGTTGCTTCAGGGTAGTGGAAGCCATCGACGATATCTTCGATACGTTGTTTCTGGCCATACTGAGGACATCGTTGATGCTCAACAAGAAACTCAGATACTCTCGCAGCGTCTCCTTGTCGGATTCTTGGCTGGCGACTTGATCACATGGTTTGGGTCCCTTGAAAACCACGTCTCCCCCTTTTTCAAGCATAGCCATAGACCAGGATGAAATCAATACACGGTGGATCAATAGGCATGTCTCCATTCTCGGGGTGATCCTTCACTCCGAGGATTCCGATGTCTATCAACCTGCCAGCTTGACTTTATCTGTTGTTATTCACCAATTTCTTGTGGTAGATCCCACTTTACCACACGGCAAGCACAAAGTCTCAAGATTGGCAGCCACTGGCACTGGTTTGCTTGTTCTTTAGCTGGTTCCTTACACAACGATTCCAGTTTTCTATTACACCAGGGCACAGGGGTCCGCTTTCGGGCAATCAACCACACCTGGACTCTACGTTTACCTTGGGCCAATCAAGAAATGCAGCTTTTTGCTCAACAAAAGCAACTCACAAGGGGATGGCACCGAGATACGCTTTGTCCGTTGACTCAAACCCACGGCGGCTTTGGCAGGTGAATTCTGAAACCGGGCTTTGGCTCTTGAACACGGCTGCTGCTTGTGTTGCAAGATGGCCCAGAGGCGTCTCTGGAAACGGGTGAAAGATGCGCAGAAAGTTGGTTGAGCCGAACTTCGGGCACACCGCCGCGTGAGGCCAGGTATCAAAAACAAGAAGGGTGGATGATCCACCGTACCTGAACCCCC